TACATCATCGTTTCATAAGACAGACTACTCAACCACCTCAAGCTGTCTTTTCGAACGATGGAATAAGAAGAGTCATAGACTTAAAAATAAAGTCATTTGCTAACAGAGCCAAGGGATGAGAGAAGCAGGGCGACAGCCAGTTGCTTTCTGGTGAGTTGCTATCGTTCCACGCTACATCGAGTTCAATGTGGAAAGAGCCCATGGGGTAGTTAGCGTGTTCAACAAGAACGATCTCATCAACCTCAATCCATATGACTTGATTGAGTTACATGCCTACACARCTCAAAGGCAAGATCATGGGATACGATTTGGAAWGGCGAACATAGCTATTGTCAAGACAATGGAGTCCCTGGTGAAGTACCGAGCCAAAAGCGATTTTGAAATTGCTCTTAGGCTAGGCATTGAGAGGTTATCCTGCGCTCCTCCAAATGAAGATTTCCAGGGCCTGTAGGAGATACGTTCTACTTCAGTTCTTACTCAACCTGAACWCGGACTTGTTTACAAGAATGAGTTTGGGGTTAAAAAGTTCTTCAGATTGACTGAAGCCTTCAAGTATTCAACAGATACACTTGAATGGTTTCAATAAACATTAGAGAAAGACTGGGCAGAAACCATGTGCCAAGGGAAGAGGGGAGTCATCTCATACATGAGATATCAACCATCATTGCTTATCGAAGACTACTCTTGCGCTTCAAAGAGATATAAACAGGTAGTTAGTGATGAGATGAAACTTTTGCTTATTTTTTCTTGATGTAATTTGTTTCCAGTACTGTAAAGAAATTTCATCATCCAATGAAAAWTTGGAGTTTGATGTTTTTCTATTAGACTAGTGTCTGTTCTTCACATATGTGTCTAGATTAGACTTGGTTTGTTATTTCATTACTTAAGGGGAGATTGTTAAACCCCACAATGCAAAATGTAAAAAGTAATGAAAAACAACAAGTGATGAAGAACCAGARGACCAATGAAGACATCAAGGCAAAATCGACTAAGTCTGGAATTCAACCATTGGATCGATGGATAGTTCAACCATTGGACCGATGGACAAGTTCAACCATTGGACCGATGGACAAGTTCAACCATTGGACATATGGACAAGTTCAACCTGAGGATCAATAGACAGGTTCAAAGATGCGATGGAAAGAGCATCCTCATCGATCCTCTGGACAAGCAACACTTAGAAGATTTTCCAGCACTTCATCTAAGCATGCAATGAAGATTTGAAGATAAGGATGAAGTCATCATATCATGAATGACAGCTGGAGATGACAAATCAACAGCTGGAATTCAAGTTTATCTTATTACTAATGTTTATCCATGAGAAAGATAAACTTTATCTATTAGCTAGACGATTTGCTAGAAAGTAGTATTAAATAGTTATCTTCTTAATAGTCGTTTAGTATAAATAGATGATTAGGTATATTGTAAAAATAAGGCTTTTTACTCTTTGTTTTACGTTTATGAATCTATAAAGTAAAACCTTTGGAGCTCAAAATTGTTCTTAAACTTTCTTATTTTATTCTTGAGACTTCATAACTTTCTTCATTAAATCACTATAATTTGGTTACTCATAACTAGATTATTAGTGTTATTGAGAGATCTGGGATCAACAAATTCATTTCCTTACACAAATATGATATTCACTAGAGCAAAACTGGATTTATATGACTTAAAAAAATCTGAATGTCTTAATAGACTGCTTTATAAGATTTATGTTTATAGACCAAATAATAAAACTTATATCTAAACAGTGGCGGGGCCAAGATTTTAGTCTAGGGGGAGCAACAATTATAAATAAAATAAATTAAAGAAAGTAAATATTGATTTTTTGAAAATAGCAAGCAAAAATAATGATCATATATTCTTGATGCACCAACCTATTTATATAGTTTCAATAGTGACCTCGATGAGTTTTCATTTTCTGAAACTTATCTATGATGTCTTCATTATCTACCTCAACAAAAACATCTTTTTCAATATAAGAAATCCAGTAATCGTTCATCTATGGATCACCCATTCTATTGCACAACCTATTCTTAGCTACGCAAATGCTCTCTCAACTGTCGCGATCGCAACAGGTAACATCATTGCCAGTTTTATAAGCAAATACACGAGAGCGAGAGAGAGAGAGAGAGAGAGAGAGAGAGAGAGAACACTTTATCCCTTCTTGTTTCAACCATCTTTTGTGCAAGATCACTGATTCCTTTTAAGTTAAAAAAATTTGTCGAAGTCCGCCTATCAACAATATAAGTTTCAAGTTGATCATCAAGTGCCATAAGTTCCATCTCAGATAAATCATCCGGATATAAACGTGCAATGTGAATCAATTTTCTCTTATCAAAAGCAGAAAAACAATCGCTCGGATTTAGACATGCCATGGAAAGAAGCAGTTGAGTGCTATTCTCACTAAACCGATTCTCCAATTCCATAAGTTGCAAATTGACGATATTAAATAACTCAACACGACTTCCATTGTAGGTAATGTATCTGGGTTAAAAGCCCTGTGTGCTCTACGTTTGGAAGATTCATATTGATCGGTATTGCTTCTAAGTAATATCATATTTATAGTAGTGTAAGTTTGTAATTCATGGAGCATTTCGGCATGACCGTCCAGGAAGTAAGAACATCTCATCCATGTTACAAACATCAATATCATGTTTCTCACTAAACAAAGTAACTTGATTAAATAGAGAATCCCACTTGTCATTGTCAGCCCTCAGTTCTTGTAGTTGATGTTTACAAACTCTAACCAAGTTCATCGCATTCACAATATCTTGTTCTATCTTTTGTAATGCTTGAGATAATTTGTTGGTAATTCCCAACATAATTCTTATGAAGTGTAGGCAAAACACATAAGCAAATAAGTATAGCGCATTTGATAGTTGACAAGCTTCATACTTTTGTTCATGAGTTAATCCATCTTTCTCTATCATATCAAGCACATCTAGCACAAATGGAAACAACGTTATTATGCTAGCCAAAGTACCTTAATGTGATCCTAACATGTGTCAAATGCCCTAGATAGAGAAGTTTCTTGATTGAGGCCTCGACCACTTGGGATTTCACCTAAATTAAGTGCTTCAATAACTTCCGCACCTTGTTGTTCTTGAAGAAAATCAAGACGTTTGCATGAACTTCCAACAACATTCACAACATTGTTTACTAGACAAAAGAAATCACCAATCTTCGAGTGCTTTTTTGCTATAGCAACAAGAGTAAGTTGAAGTTGATGAGAAAAACAATGAACATAATGGGCACTTTTATTTTCACTCAAAATTAGTCTCTTGAGCCCATCGATTTCAACTTGTATATTACTAGTCCCGTCATAACCTTGCCCACACAATTTAGCGATACTTAATCCATGTCTTGAAAGCAAAGCATCAAGTGTCGCCTTAAGTGGGATAGAGGTAGTGTTGGGGACATGCTCAATGCCTAAAAAACGTTTCATTATACATCCTCTTCTATCCACATAATGCACCACAACACACATTTGTTCTTTGGTTGAAACATCACGAGTATTGTTCCCGATGCCTCGAGGAGAAAATTAACATCTAAAGAAGACCTTTCGGAAAACAAATTCGTGTTTTATTTAGAAAGTCTTCCCATCATCGTTGGGTTTTGCTTCTTGGTGTATGCTTGTGTGTGTTACCATTATCACAAGGCTACCCTAACGATAAGCCAATTAAGTATAAAAAACATGGAGATGTATGCTCGGTATTGAATTAAGATGGAGCAATCGCATATGAAGACTTCATTGTCAAGGCAACACAAGACTTCGACCTCAAATACTGCATTGGGACCGGTGGCTATGGTAGTGTTTATGAAGCGAAACTGCATAGCGGTAAAATATTTGCTTTGAAAAAACTCCATCAGTTTCAAGCGACGCAACCAGCATTTGACAAGAGTTTTAGGAATGAGGTCCAAGTCTTAATCAATATAAGGCACAAAAACATTGTGAAACTATTGTTTTTTATGCATAACAAATGCAACTTCTTAGTATATCAATACATGGAAAATGGGAGCCTATTTTGGACATTAGAGACGATACTGAAGATGTAAAATTGGATTCGATCACAAGGATGAACATTATCAAAGAGGTAGTCCATGCTATGCATCATGATTGTAGGCCATCTGTTATTCATCAAGATATATCAAGCAAAAATAATCTCTTCAACTTGGAAATGGCAGCATTTGTAGCAGCCAGATTGCTCGACCCTGATTCCTCCAACCAAACAGTAACGGTAGGAACCTTGGGATATATTGCTCCAAATACTTATATTAAATAAGATACTTCTTCTAATTCCCTTGGCAGTTGAAAACTCGGCAAACTAACTTTTGGTTAATGATGTAGAACTTGCCTACAACGTTGTTGCGGCAGAAAAATATGATGTATATAGCTTCGGAGTGGTGGCACTTGAAACAACTAGAGGAGACCTCCTGTCATCATTAAACCATTCTACTGGGCAAGGTACATCGTTGATAGATTTACTCGATTTTCTCATCCAACCGAATAGTTGATTCACAAGAACATTGTTCGTGTTTATCAATTAGCACTAGCCTGCATTCTTAGAGATCCAAAGTCTTGGCCAATAATGAGAAATGTGTCACAGGAATGATCTCGTTGAAGGCATCATTTAGGCTAACTTCCAGTTTTCTCGTATTCATAGCATGATTAAGTACCTCGGTCCCAAAATAAATATCTAGTTTGATAAACAGATCGACTAAATTTCCAAATCTACTCGTAATTAATACACAAATATTTAAAAGTTGATAAGATAGATAAGGGTATAGTCATAAGATAGATAAACTAATTTGGGGTAAAATTGTTGTTTTATTTAAGGAAATCGTGCTTAAATACATACCTCAAACCACCTTTCTAATCTTTCTTTGTTGTAACGACAAAGGTGGTGTCTGGTTTGAGCTTGACTCCAAAGGTCAAAGGTACTAGTATTAAGACCAATAACACAGTTGGTCCAATCATTTGATTTAATGCTCTTAAATGGTCATTATTGTTAAATATTGTTCCTCCTTTAGCTCCTTAGATAGCTCCTGTAATTACTCCTTTCCATTGTTGTATATCATCTATATAAACCTCCTATGTATTCAGTTTTGATACAATTGAATTCAATACAATATTATTTTTCCTCTATCTCATTTTATGGTATCAGAGACATAAAGGCTCCTCCGAGCAATTCTCGATCCCTCTCACAAAAACCCTAAATCACCTTTAAACGCCCATCAATGGCTCCAACCAATCAACTTACTGCCGCTACCCACTTCCCTATTAAACTCACCTCTGTCAATTTCCCTGTTTGGCGCAAACAAGTGGAATCCACCCTAATTGGGTTAGAACTCAAAGCGTTCATCGATGGCAACCGTGAACCGCCAAAGAAATTAATCGACGACAAGGCAAATCCAGAATACCTACCTCGGTATCGACAAGACCAAATCCTCATCAGCACAATCCTTGGAAGCTGCTCGGAATCAATTCAGCCCCTTATCTCGTCTGCAACTACTGCCAGAGATGCCTGGGAACGGCTAAACTCAAGTTTTGCCAGTGCTTCACGTTCCCGATTAAGCTCACTCAAATCCAAATTGGTTAAAAACCCCAGAGGTAATCACACTACTTCTGACTATCTCCAAGATATGCCTTCGATTGTAGATGATCTCGCCCTCGCACAAAGCCCTATAGCCGAGGAAGATCTGCTTGTTCACATCTTATCTCAATTAGGTGACGACTACAACACCATTGTGGCTGCCATAAAGGTTCAAAAAAATCAGCTATCTTACCCGGAACTCTTTGACAAATTAAGTGATTTTGAAAGAGCCCTCAAAGAAACTACACCAAACCCTGAACCACTTTTAGCTACTGCTAATTATACCACTCGCCAACAAGGACGACAACACTATCGGTACCCATCTGAATCTTCTGGTCCACATAGAGGTGGCAGACGCAATAACAGAGGAATAGGTCGCTCATCTTGGACAACACCTCACCCACATGGAGGCCGAAAAAATCGCACCAGCAGCTTCTGCCAATTCTGTAATATTACGGGGCATCAGACTCAGGACTGTCGGAAACTATCTAGATTTCTGAGAGACAACAACATTACCATCGGTAACCCCGGTTCAGCAATTCCTACAACAAATGTCACAACATCTGGATCAGTGCCTATTTCTCCAACCTGGTTATTTGACAGTGGCGCCTCAAATCATGTCACCTCTGATCGGTCCACACTTCATAACATCTCTGAATATGGGGACCTGATGAAATAATAGTTGGTGATGGTAAAGGTTTGAAAATATCACATGTTGGCTTTAAACACATTAACACGCCACACAAAACCTTATCCTTACCAAATGTGTTATGTGTTCCTCATCTACATAGAAACCTTATATTCGTTGCTAAACTGTGCAAGACTAACCGAGTTTTTGTTGAATTTTTTCTCTCTCATTTTTTTGTGAAAGATCTTCGCACGAGGTGCGTGTAATGCGAGGGGAGAACCTTGAAGATGTCTATTATGCTAACCTCCCATCCACATTGCAACTCAATGCCACCACCAAAGTCTCTCCACTTGGATGGCACCACAAACTAGGCCATCCATCCATTAAAGTATTCAAGTCTCTTGTCTCCAATATAGGTCTCAGTGCTAAGCAAATCTCTGATTATATGCATTGTTCCTCTTGTTCAATCAATAAAAGTCACAGACTACCTTTTGGTCCAAATTCATTTGTTATCACAAAACCGCTTCAATTAATATATTCTGATGTTGGGGTCCTGTTCAAACTTCCATTGACAATTTTGCTTATTACGTCATTTTTGTAGATTACTACTCAAAATATGTTTGGCTCTACCCTATGAAATGGAAATCTGATGTTGCCACACTATTTCCCCAATTCAAACTTCTTGTTGAGAAGTTCTTCCAAATACCAATTGTGTCAATCTTCACTAACAATGGTGGTGAATACCAAGGCCTTAAGCCGTTCCTACAAGCTCATGGCATCTCTCACTACACCACCCCACCTCACACTCCTGAACAGAATGGTGTCGTCGAACGACAACACCGGCATGTGGTTGAGACGGGGCTTGCTCTTCTCCATTATGCCAAATTGCCACTCACCTTTTGGTCTCATGCCTTCGAAATTGCTGTCTATCTTATAAACAGACTTCCCACACCCATCCTCAACAACCAAAGTCCATTTCAATGTCTATTTCACCAAACACCAAACTACACAAAACTCAAACCCTATGGTTTAGGCGTACACCAACTCCAAGCTACAACCGCGATCGACCCCATGTCTTTTCCTAGGTTACTCCACCTACAAATCCTCTTACATATGCTTTGACCCTACCAACCGCCGCCAATATCACTCTCGTCATGTTCAATTTATTGAATCTCACTTTCCCTCCCATTCCTCCTCCACACTCACCTTTGCCCACTGCCGATGATTTCTTCAAAACCCCACTAACCACTAATGCACTGAACTCCTCATCACCAATAGATTCATCAAACATATCATCATCTCATGCAACCCCTATACCTCATGTCCTGCCACAAGAAATACCACGTCCAACATCATAATCCCATCCTCCAACCCCTACTTCTGAACCCACCTCACTAATGTCTGATGCTTCTCCTTACCCTACACAGCCTTCTACTCCACATACCTCACCATCCACACTGCAAACTCAGCCATCCACTCTTGTTTGAACTCCCACCAATTTGTGTTCCACCCCAACCGTCTTCACTTCTCACGATGATAATTACATCTATCCACCCACTTCACCTCAGCCAAAACGGACCAGAAATAAAAACCCAAAATACTTCAATTCCTCTTTCATCAACTCCACCACCCCTCATCCCATTCCTTCCACCATTGAACCCAACACTCATACTCAAGCTCTCAAAGATCCTATATGGCGACATGCCATGGATCAAGAGTTCAATGCCCTCATGCAAACCGGAACTTTGGAATTAGTTCCACGAGGTTCTCACACTCCGACTGGATGCAAATGGGTATTCCGGGTCAAAAGGAATCCCGATGGTACTATTTCAAAATACTATTGCAAGGGCGTATTAAGACCAATAACACAATTGGTCCAATCATTTGATTTAATGCTCTTAAATGGTCATTATTGTCAAATATTGTTCCTCCTTTAGCTCCTTAGATAGCTCCTGTAATTACTCTTTTCCATTGTTGTATAGCATCCATATAAACCTCCTATGTATTTAGTTTTGATAAAATTGAATTCAATACAATATTATTTTTCCTCTATCTCATTATAATCAGGAGGTCACAGGTTCAAATCCAAGAAGGAATAAAAATCCCCTTGTGGCCACGGAGGTTCAAATGCAGTGACTTCGGGCTATCTGCAAAGCAGGTGGTCGCCCTGGAATTAGTCGGCTCGCATAGTGGGTTGGATATCCAGGTTAATAAAAAAAAATC